TTAAACTAAATCCACATCTCAGATTGCAGAACCAGCTAAATGTGTGTTTGATAAACATGCCTTCGTGGAAAAGCAGGAAGAAAGAGAAAACACAAAAAACCCAACTCACTTAAAAGTCTTAAATGCTTCATCTTTAGCAGAGATACAGCAGATAGAGCTAAATGCAAATGCATGGCAGTGAAGAACATGTGTTAGATATTGGGACTACAGGTCGCCCTCTAGTGAAAGATGACATGACTGTAATTAAATTATTTAAGTTATCCAATGTAAATGAATGTGTTAGAATGTCCCAGTCAAAGTCCAGACCATAATTCAACCAAGAATCAGTGGGAAGACTAGAAAAAATGTCCATTGATGTGATAAGCTAGGAGGAGATGATCTGCAGTTCTACCTAAAGCAAAAAAGGGGGTTCTGTGCAGAAGGCAAAATTCAGTAAATAAATATATAATAAAATAAATACATGTGAATGTCCCAGGAAATAAATATAGGTACAAAAATCAGTGTTAATATATTTATTTAATAAAGTATTAAATAACCAAATGCACCATTAGATAGTAGAATACACTAAAGAAAGCGCTCTGAGAAGGATGCAAATACCCGGTTCGATCTCCACAGCCTGCACTCCGGGTCCGTGAGCGAGACACTTAACCCCACACTGCTCCCTGGGCGCCGCACAATGGCAGCCCAGTGCTCCCTAAAGGGATCGGTTAAAAGCAGAGTTAATTTCTTTAATGTGAGATCAATAAAGATCACTGACTTTTTGCAAAGAAATGCACTATTAAGATTTTTTAAATGAAACATTTGCATCCATTTTCTTTGACCTCACAACTATGAACTGCTTTGTGTTAGATATTACATAGCTTAGTGTTTGTACTGTAGTTTGACAGTATGTGAAAATGTTTAAAAGTAATGATTAAATGAATTACACTCTACATTTTATTATTTTGAAAATTACCCAAATCCGACCCACTTTAACAGACTGTAACAAGTCTTTAAAACGTTGTCCCTTTTCAAAATGAGCAAACAGTCCAAATAAAGGCCATCATTGTGGAGACTCACAGCTATTGTGTTATGCTTTTGAACCTTAGGTTCCCCTAAATGCTAAGGAGAGTGTGTTCATCCTTTTTTCTCTACTTCTGGCACTTAGCCGTGGGCAACTCTGCCAAAAGGAAAAGACGACAACACACGCAGAAAAAAAGAAAGAAAGAAAGACAGACAGAAAGAAAAAGCACCCTCAATCAGGAAGTGTCAGCTTTTTAGTGGTGCCAAAGGAATCGGGCAGCTTCCTAGCCAAGTTGCCAAGATACTGGAAACCCAGCCAGATGGTGCAGCCTTTAACGGTGACGGTTGGGAAGTTTAAATGTAAGCAGCATGTAAAGTACTTTACATTACTGCATTGACTGTATGTTTAAAGACGCCTACAGGAAATCTCTATTCTTCATCTCAACATTGTTCAGCAGAAATTACATCTAAATTACAACAATTCACTACTGAGTTTCTAAGCATCTTTTGCACATAACCTTATGAATATTTTTAAATAATTATAGTAAAAAGCAACACAAAATCTGTCATCAATTATTTGGAATTTTATTTATAAAGAGTAGGAATTTCATTCAACATTATCTCATCACTTTTCCCAGATGCCCCAGTTTAAAATCCTCTGCAAACCTCTTAATTTCATGTTTGGCTCTATCGCCATCCCTATCAACTGACTCATGTCCAATCCCCACACCAGGATGCTTCCATCACCTTTTCAACCAGCATTTGTGCATGGAAGTTGTGTTCAGAAGGCTGTGCAAAGGTAGCATTATGAACATAGGCCAGAAAGTTTAGTTTGGCTCTAATTTGATCACAAAACCTTCTTCTACATGCGGCTTCAAGGCTAGTGAAAATTTTAACAGGACTTTTTATGACTGTCTATCAATACTGTCTTTTTTATTTCCTGTTTTCCATTAAGGTCCAACTCAAAAGCTTACTGTCGTACCATCAGCAGATGGAGTAAAATAATAACCAAACAGTGCAGATTCATGGGTGCAGGATATGCAAATGTAAACATTTACAAGGTGCAAAGCCGTTTTGCTAATTTCAAACTCAACTGTGATCACATTTTTTGCATCTCTAAGCATTTCTAAAGCTACCAATTTGAAATGCACAAAAAAATAAATATTTAGCAACATAAAGTATATTATTTTGATAATAATTTTCATTATTACTTCCAGCCTCGGGGCTAAGAACGTCATCTTACTTTTAAGGCTTCTCTCAAACTGTCAGTGTCACATACAATCCAATAATTTTTATGGGAATTAATCAGTTTGCACATATTATTATAATTGCAGTTTACCAGAAACAGGCCCACTTATTGCATGTGCAAAAATGTAATAATAAATCTGAAGATCGAGCCTTAAATGCTTTTGAAATCTTTTTAGAATCTGCTTGTAAGCTGCAGAGGTGGTTTTGAACAATGTTTCCAACAATGTGCGCCAACAAGCAAACATCTTTGTATTCTTGTGAATACCAGATTAATTTTGATGGGTGTGTGTTGTGGGGGATCAGTGGACCAAAATGATGGGTAGTATAGGTAAACACAGCTGGGGATTCACAGCACTGGTGGATCTCCAGAAGACCCCCACCCATTCACACATTTATCAGTGTGTTTACTCAGGGGATGCAGACTAATCTTCTCACAGAGGAACCTTCATGGAGGCGCTGCAGGCTGTGATGAAAGTGACTCTGTCCACAATCACAGCCTTGCTAATTCCTCCACCGTTAAACTTGAATGATCTCTGCATTTTAATGGCCTGTCAGAGTTGTCCACACATCTCTCTGTGGGTGGCATGCTTTTAAAAATTTCATTTTATCCTTTAATTGCACCAACCTCTGAATAATGTGAAAAACTGTGTTCTTTGAACTGAGAAACCAGGAATGATTCTTTATTGCAAGTCAAAGATGAACTTATCTACAGTATATCATTATCACTATAGTTCCCAGTAATGTTTTTTTTTTACTTTTTATTGTGATACTTATTGATTTTTAAAAACTGTCTAATCTGACCTAAAGAATTTTCAATTTCTGCCATGTAGCGGATTATTAAACCTCAGTTTCAAAGCTCCATCTGCTGGTCGTGACTCTGTATTGTACTCCTATTGATTTTGTGTAAATATTAACAACTGATGTATTATCTTGTAAAATGAAAACTCTTCTTTATTGTATGCTTTATGACTTTATTTTGAATTTACTTGTCTAATCTAAATTTTGTTTCTTAAATTTGTAGGTGGGATCTAAGAGTCAACCAAAAAACAAATATTATATAGAATTTTTTTCTAAAACAAAATACATAAATTTGGGCTTCTTAAATGTATTCTTAATCAACTTGTCTAGAATTGTTGCATTAAAGTAAGAGTTCACTCATTCTAATTATTAGGATTGACACAAGCTTTTTAACTATCTTATTGTACTATTGTTGCAATAAGTTTTTATTTTGATATAAAAAATTAAGGTGATACAAAGCTGGACATAAACTCAGTTGTGTTTTGCCTCATGTGATAGAGCTTGTTATTAAATTTTGAGGTTCTAAGTCATTACTGTCTCCCGTCAGTGGAAAATCTCCTGTTCCTATGATCCTTTATGACACGAGAGAGGCTGAATTACAGAGTTTGTGAAACAGTGATTTTAAGGACAGAAAGAAAATCTACATGTACTTTATCTATTAAAATTGGTTTCTCAGAATTAATTCAAAAGACTTAGTAAATTCAATACTAAGTTAATTTATTGATGCATTTTCATTTAAATTACTAGGTTTTGTAATCCTTGCATTGAAACTGTACTGTTATCAGCATTAACTGACTGAATTTAAAATGACTTATTTTAAAAATGATTTCTTTTTTGTCATGGATATTTGTAGGTGTCTTTATTGATGGTTATGGTAATTTGAGTTTAATCAATTATCATTAAGCAAATAATATATAACAAAGCAACAATGACATGATTTGATTTCAACTGTAAATTATATTGGTGGTTGACATTTAATGAACAAATATTTTAAATGGGAATTATTTCATTGATAATTTGCCTATTTAGAGAATGTGTCTAAATAAATTTGACTTTATGCGCACCCTAGAGTCTACGGAAGAGGATCAGAAAAAACAAAAAAAAGTTAATAGATTTTTGAATTTTATTTCAGTATAATATTAGAAAAAAGTCTGAATTCTGACTTTAATCTCATAATTCTGACTTTAATCTCAGAATTCTGACTTAATCTCAGAATTCTGACTTTCTGACTTTTTAAGTGCCTGAGGTGTCCCCGATTATGCTATTTCATTAATGGAAGAGCAGAAGGTCATTAAAACAAAAGAGCTAGTCTAGTATCTAAAACAGACATGGCTACAGCTTGATGCATTTTTGTTAGCTGTTAGAATTCAGTCAGAATTCTGAGAAAAAAATCAGAATTCTGAGATTAAAGGCAAAATTTTGAGAAAAAAAAAAAACTGAGTTCTGAGATTAAAGTCAGAATTCTGACTTTAATCTCATATTAAACTGAAATAATATTTAAAAATCAGTTAATTTTTTTCCCCCCCAGTGGCCTCTTCCGTAAGAGTCGCAATGAGTTAATATGGCAAAAATGCAATGCTTGTAATTTTGCACAATTTCCCCAATATTTTTATAGACCTGATCAAATACAAAAAAGATAAAAATTTTAAAAAAAGAGAAAAAAAATCGACAATGTCAAAAAATTTAAGAAAAATGCCCTGAATTCATATTTCAAAGTATGTATTTAAAAAAAAATAAATAAATATATATAATAAATAAATCACAAAAGGCAAACATAAAACAGCATTATAGCATACTTAAATTCCAAACAGCAACATATTAGGAGTACTTTTTATTTTTTATTTAATTTTATTTTTCATTATTTCCCAATACATTTTGGACATACATTTAGGGTTCAACTCCAAATACGACACTCGAAATTAAAACTCTGCGTTCCCAGCGTGCCTTCTCGGCTTCCGTTCTGAGAGCTTTTGACGTCAGCATAACAACAACCTGTCATGACAGCTCGAAGAAAGAAATCTCCAGAATAAAATTTACATGAGTGATTATAAAGCCACTTTCACCTGAATGTAAAACTCTCTCTAAAGGTAAGACCCAGACGCTGTGGAAGATTACAACAATCTCTAAAACATCGACAAAACCATATAGCAGCTAGCTAACTTAGCATTAGCTCAGCACTCTTTTCTGATGTTGCCTCGCGGCGATGTGGTTAAAAAGAGCCTAAATCCCAGGCTTTGGCCCAACCATTCAAGACTAGACAATGGTTTAGACTTGATACACGATGTGTAAATTGTGAATAATTTAATATTAAATAGAGTTAGATGAGCTAACTTAAGCTGAACTCTGGCAATAACCGACACATTAGCCTAGCTAACGTAGCATCGCAGCGGTTGACTAAAGTTAGCGGCGTTTTTTCTCTCTTTCTGAGATGACAACATCATTAGCGCTTATATCCCAAATGTTAACACTTAAGGGTGACATTATTTTTATAGCTAATACAAAGGTAATGTTCATAGATGGTTAAAGTTCCATTAAAATTCACTGTGGGTGTGTTACTATTGCTGATGCTAGTGATGCTGTTGATTTGGTGATCACCGGTGTCCGTCATATGAATAGTTAATTTAGACTAGCCACCTAGCCGTGTTTTTTTTATCGATGTGCACAGTCAGCGAGTTAATCTAACGCCTTGTGGCTGCTGTAAAGCAACATTGCACCCAGAGACACGCATTGCAGGTGCATTGCAGCTAATGTCAACTAAACCAGCACTGTGTCTTCATTTTCTCTGTTTAGTCTGTGTGCGATCCAGGACGGACAGGACATTCTGAGACCTGTCATTTAGCCAGCCGGAGAGACGGGGAACAGGATTGGGAAGCAGGGCGAGGCGGGCCCCGCGGAGCCGGTGGAGAAGATGGCTGGCAGCCCGGAGAAGAGCTCCACCGCGCAGGAGCTGAAGGAGCAGGGGAACCGGCTGTTCCTCTGCCGCAAGTACCAGGAGGCTGCCTCATGCTACAGCAAAGCAATTGTGAGTACATCTCCCTGTACCTTTTCATGTTTTCTTAAAATTCGAATTTGTTTTATGCGTGCAACGAGTTGGATTTGTTGTTGCTGTTGGATTTTGGTGTATTTCTGTACCATCTTTGCACTGTTAAATGATGTCATTTCTTTGCAGCAATGCAAAAGATCAGACACAAATCTGTGAAAATCAATTTTCTTACCTTTTTGATGACTGAAATGAATTCTACATAATAAATAACCGATTATCCAAATCCTTTGATTATATATTTGACTTCCTATTACCTTCTGTCTCAGTCTCAAGTCTTTTGCAGTCATTTGTTCTTTTCCAGAACTCAAAACACAAACTATCTCCTCATCAGTTTTGAACAGTCCCATAGCAAGACACCCCCACTACCATGTGCTGCCATTAGTGTTCTATGTATGGATGTGAAATGTTGCTTAATTCACATATACAGACTTACTAATCAGGTGACTTTCTAAGAGAATTTGTTGCTTTGTGTTTAAGTCGGGGTAATAGTGTAAAAGTTCCTGAGTCTCATCAAAATACATTGAAGTTGGTATTTGGCATGAGGTATCAACAGGATGGCACAGTGTGTTATAACTGTATCATCATCATGTTATTCAGTGTTTTTGGCATTTGTATTCTGCTGTCATGAGTCCACATTGTTTTTTTTACACCTATCCCTGTGGTTGTGAATTACTTGCACTAGATGCTGATATCTGAGACAGACTACAGTGTTGAAGATGCAGAACATTACAGAAAGTGTTACTCCTGGAAAGACAGGAGTGAGGAACATGTGGACTTATTGAAACTCATGTCCACTGCTGTCTGTAGAAAAATGATAGTCTTTGTAGTATTTACCTAAATTGCCATCAATGCATGACTTTATATTATTGTGCAGAGCTAGCTAGGAATCCACTAGCAAAGCACAGTAAGGGTTGTAAAGAATGGGGACATGTCTGACAATGCATTTTTATTCTGTGGTTCATCTATCCTCAGAACCGTAATCCGTCGGTGGCAGTGTACTACACCAACAGGGCTCTCTGCCATGTCAAGCTGCAGCAGTATGACAAGGCTCTGGCAGATTGTAAGCATGCCTTGGAGCTGGACAGCCAGTCAGTTAAGGCTCACTTTTTTCTAGGCCAGTGTCACCTGGAGCTGGAGAACTACGACGAGGCTATTGGCAACCTACAGAAAGGTCAGAGGACACTCTTAAAATATGGCAAAATTGTTAAAGAATTCAGTGAATATGTGCAAAAAGAGCCCTTCTAGTGTGTTGCAATATTTTCAGCAGCAGCTTCCTCTGTTGCAAATAAACATTTGCATTTCCTGCATAATTGTTGTCATTGTTGCAAGGGATCAGAGTGTGGGTGTTCAAATGCGTATATATGATTATTAAACTAATTCCATCTTATGCAGAACTGTATGTTAGTTGTTTGAAAATATGAAAGATTTGATGTTTTTTTTTTTTTTCCAGTATTTGAAATGTTGATCACTAATTATAGAAAAGAAAAACAAATTTTAATCTCTGATGGATTGATTGGTGCACATCTAGTTTTGGCTTCTTGGTGTAAAATCTTATCTTTAATCCAGCTTCACTATATATAGTTATTGCTGATCTTTTCTTTATTCAGAACTATTCATAACCCTTATTACTAATCAGATCTAACTTTATAACTTAACCTTTTTTGCGTCAGGTACTGTTATTAATTTATATGTGCTTTTAGCCTATAACCTTGCAAAAGAGCAGAGGCTAAACTTTGGAGATGACATCCCCAGCGCATTGCGCATTGCCAAGAAGAAACGCTGGAACAGCATTGAGGAGAAGCGCATCAACCAGGAGAATGAGCTACATGCTTATCTGACTAAACTCATACTGGCTGAGAAGGAACGGTGAGACAGGAAATTAGTTCAGAACGCCTGACGCTTTTTTCAGTCTAAGACTGAGTGATGAATCATCTACACTTTGTATTTTTGCAGTGAACTTGAGGAATACAATGAGAAACAGGATGACAATCAAAACAGAAGTGACGCTGGAAAGATTGCATCTAAACATGTATGCTTCTTTGTCATGCTGAAAACATACAGAATTAATTAGTTTAAAAATTTTGTTCATTGCAGTGTGCTTTTTTTTTCTTTCTTCTTTAATGTGACCAACTAAGGACAAGTATTTAATGGAGATGGAGGAGCTCTTCTCACAAGTAGATGAGAAAAGAAAAGTGAGTGTGGAGAATCATTTCTGTTTCCTAGTGTATGTTCCAGCTTGTATCTCACCACATACACCTGTAGATGCATAAGTTGAGGGAAAAACAAACTAAAAGTAGACAACAAAAAAACAGACGTGAGATAAAATAGCTTATAAAGACTGTTTCCTTTTATTTTCTTTTGTTCAGCCAACAGGAAATCACCTAATTTAACAAAACATTGCGTATTTTTCTTTCTGTGTTTATTTCTGGTTTGTTCTTTTTTCTTTTTTTCTTTTTTTTTCTATTTACTTTTTTCTCTTTCTTGTTTTTGTTTTTATTATATACAGCACATTGAAACATTTTTGTTGTTGTTAAAAGGCGGGATGAGTTATTAAATCACACAAAACTCTGTAGTTGAGGATGTATTTTTTACATATATTTTTCCTCTCACAATTCCTATCTTACTTTCTCATCACTTTCCTTTGTAATGTATGTTTGTTGATTTATTTATTTTTTTTCTCTCACCAGAAGCGTGAGATCCCCGATTACCTTTGTGGAAAAATCAGTTTTGAGCTGATGCGGGAGCCTTGCATCACACCTAGCGGCATCACCTATGACCGTAAGGATATCGAGGAGCACTTGCAGGTAAGGCTGTGATCTTCTGCTAATCTTTAGTGTTGTATTGTTTAAAATCTCAACTTTTGTTCAGAACCTGGTCAATTGACTTTTTAGATTTTCAGATCTGTTGAATTTTGCATTTCTGCTGACTGACTTTTATTGCACAAATTTTATTCCTTTTGTCTGCAGCACAGGATATAAAATAGCATTATATCAATTAGATGGTTAAAACAATTATGGCATTTCAAACACAAATTGCTCACACTGATATAGAAATGGTGACATATTTCTTAGTCTTAGATGCCTTTAATATTAAAAGTTAATGTTATAACATGACTTTGTTTGGAAATGCATCATTTTTTTCCCGCTTCTTGGCGATACATTATTTAGTGTCGGTTTTTCACATTAATTCCCAATGAGGTCCATTAATGCTTTTAATTGCACCGTCGGTTCGTCAAGAACTAAATCCTCTGCAAAGTATTTCATCTTTTTAGTGTGATTAAAGTAACTAAATGTTGACAGTTACAGTTAGGCTTCCTCTCCATGTTAGACAGCCTCCTTTACCGTCTCTTTTTTTACATGCTTTTTGAGAACTTAATCCTTTTCCTGCTTTTTGACACTGCAGGAGTTGTTTGTTCTCTGTGTAAGAAGTTTTGCCAAAGATTGTTTTGTCTGTTTTTGAGTATTTTGCTTCAGTTTTTTTCCATGATTTTTCTGTGTTATCTTCTAGCTGTTTAATAAATTGAAGTAGTTCCTCTATGCTTATGTTACAATGATCTGTTAAATGCCACATGTAAAAGGTGAAGCACAGGTTAACCCATCATTTTCATGTTTTATGTTGGTTATTTCTGCTTACGTAGAAGGGATTTACCAACCTCAGCCCATTTCTGTTTTGTGCAGCGTAGACCTAAAATATGCAGATACTAAAAATGAAGTCCATACAGCATATTCTATTAATGTTTTAAATGCTTCTTTTTGTTGCCTGTGTGCAGCGGGTAGGTCACTTTGACCCCGTCACCCGGAGTCCCCTGACCCAGGATCAGCTGATCCCCAACCTAGCGATGAAGGAAGTGATCGATGCTTTCATCCAGGAGAACGGTTGGGTGGAGGACTACTGAAGAGACAAGCTTGTATCCCCATTCAGTACAATGCACAGAGCCTGGACAAGACAAGACTGTAGAGAACAGATCACTCCTTGCGTGGATACGTACCTTGGAAGCAGGAAAAGTCACACAGAGGACTACCAGACAGGAGCAACGTGTCTCAACCTGCCTCTCCTCTCCTCCCCCTTTATTTTTCCTTGTAGATCAACTTCTTACTCTTAACTGAGGCTCAGTGTTACCGGCCTGCTGCTCCCTTTAAGACCCCCTTCACTCTAACATTTCTAGCCTTTCTCTTCATCTTCCTGTCTGTCGTGCTGTTTCAGGTCTTTCTGTGCTCAGATAGGGACCGTGCTCTCAGGTCTCTTTTGCACTCTGCCTGGTTTCTCTCTCTGTGTCTCTCTTTTTTTCTGAGCCACAGTTTTCTGAAAGAATAACAATCCAGTGTTTCACCGATTCAAATATGGAGAAAGAAACAGACTTTTTTTTGCGTCAGGACTTATACAGACACTGGCCTTTTATTTCGAGGTTAATCCAAGTATATTTTTGTCATTTTTCATTAAAAAAATGGACGATCTGCCTAGTTACTAAAGTATATCTTTTGGAGAGGTCACTACAATGCCAAAAACCTATCCTCATTCAACAAGAGTGACTTGATAGTGAGTTTGACACCGTTCTAGAAGAAGGATGCAACACAGCTCCGCCTCTTCCTGCTGGTGGCACCCCGTCCGTTCATGCCCCTGTCACTTTACTGTACATTGTTGAATAGATCTTTATTTGGCATCTCAATCAAACCCCAATCCAGACAATTCAGATAAGCTGAATGTATAGATAATATATTTCTTTAGATTCAGCCATCATTATTACAAGATGTTTTTTTTTTCCGAACAGTTTAAAGGTTTGGGGAAGAAACCTTGAGCTAAGAACAGAAAATGAATAGCTGCATAAAAAAAAAAAAAAAAAAAAAAACTAAAAGAGTTTTCACATTGCTGGATATGAATATTAATTGCTTAAACGTTTAAACTTGAGAGGAGAGCCATTAGCTGTTTTGACTGTTGCTGATATCTGCTTTGACAAATGGTCTGCGCTGTAGTGTTTACAGAAGATGTTTCTGGATGTTAACGTGCTGTCTGCCTGGAATGGAAGCGGATGCTCGAATCAAATGAATTTTGTTCTTTTTAAAAGCCTGAAGATTGAATGGTTGCATCTTTTTAAAGAAATTGACAAATCTTTGTACTGTCACAAATATATGAGCTTCATTTGCATCACTGCCCCATAGTCGGCCATTCAGAGGATTGCTGGAAGAGTTCTGATCATCTTCATCTGTACCTTAGTTCAAGTTTTTGCGTGCTGGATTTCCAGCATTTCCTGTCATAAAAGGAGTTTTCAATCCAGTGCTTAGTAGTTTACAGCTGATTGTGTCTGTGGTGAATTAGGCCCGTTTGGTTGGTCTTTGTGCTGGGGTTCAGGCTTTGTACATAATTTGCTGGTGTTAATCAGATTTTATTTCTTGACAAGTTAGGGTTCTTTTTTTGTCTGGAGAAGGCCTAGAGCTTAATAAACTGTATTAAATGTAGATATGTTGATAACATGAATGACTTGTTCTGTTTTCCTTTTGGCCTGATTAAATCATTTCCTTGGATGTTTGTTTTTTGTTTGATCCTGAAGATAAAGAACTGCAGAGTATTCATCGCTTAATGCCTGCAGCACAACTCCTCACATAAACACACAGGAAATTCTCATCACTCTCCCCTAGATCAACTATTTGATGACTATTTACTGCACATATGTTGAAATCCTCCTTTTGAACAGAGAATTATTTACCAAATGACTTTTCCTTTCCTTTAGTGGCTCAGACTCACCAGTCTATCCTCCCTGTTCACATTTTGAACAGGGAGGATTTGTTTTAAGCTATGAGGAAAAGAAGCCTCTATATTATAGATAACTTCAACATAAGTACCTTGCATTATCATTTCTTGGATGAATTAAGATTTTATTTTTAATAGGATTTTTTAAAACCTTTTCATTTTGTTTGAACCAATCTGAAGTGGAGAAATTAAATTTCTAAACATCAGTAAAGAGCTAAATTTGTTTATATTATTGCAATTCTTGTAACCTATTATGAACCTCATTATAAAGGAAGCAAAAAGGTTAATATGAAGATGATGTTTAAATTTTTTTCAAGTAAATTAACAAACTGATTTATGGGGCTACATAGTGGAGCAGTTTGAAGCACTGTTGCATTGCAGCAGGAAGGTTCTGGGTTTAATTCCCAACCAAGGGTCTTTCTGCATGGACTTTGCATGTTCTTCCTGTGCATGTGTGGGTTTTCTCCGGCTGTTAGATTAATTGGTGTCTCTAAGTAGTCTTAATGTGTGATTGTGTGGGTGTGCATGGCTGTATATCTGTTGCCCTGCAATGTACCGCAACCTATGCAGGGTGGACTCCGACTTCAGCCCATAGACTGCTGGAGACAGGCACCAGCCCCACAGTGACTCTGACGGATAAACAGGAGAAGATGAAAAGCTTTCATTTATTGATGACCCCTAGTGTGAATAATTATATTCCTCTTTACATCTGAGTTGATTTTCACTAGCCTGAAACTGTGGCCTCATTACCACCAGGCCTGTGAAGTGCAATAAATCATCTAAACAAAACCTGTCCAATGAAATGAAATAAAGTAACATTTAGGAGGTTAGAAAAAAACATTATGAGCCGACTTACATGGAACAGGAGGAAGACTTCCCAGGAATGACTGGCCAACCAGTTATCCAAGATTTTTTAACTCCTTTATGAGGCAACTAAAGAACTGTTGTTACACCTGGTAAAAAACTAACACAACATCCCTTACTGAGATCATAATGTCAGTATGGTGAATTTTTGGTGCTGTTGATCTTTGTCTTTACTGATCTGGGACCTGTAAGACTTGCTGTCATTAACCATAAATTCAGTTCTAGTGGGTATTTCTGCAGTCTCCAGTTTGACCTGGATTGTGTAGAAGGACAACATTAAAATCAAACAGTAAGTAGACCTCTAAATCACTCAAACACACACAAAAAAAATGTGAAAATAATGTACCGAAAATATGATTAACTGCTAGGGAATTCCTATACAACCAATATGGAACTATGGGTAGTTTATCAATAGTCACTGATAAACACCCAGCTCCACCTTATTATGGATCTACTGCTTAGTTACCAGGGAAATTAAGAGTGATTAAGACAGAACTAATGTGTAGTTACCATGGAAACCAAAGAGGAATTAATAAGGAAGTAAATGGTAGATATCTAGTAGTTATTAGGGAACCACTTATTAGGTACTGCAAATTTGGAGTTATAAATTCTCACTGTTGGTTCTGAATAAACCCCTGACCTGTGAGGTCACAGCTTATTAAAAACCGCTTTACTGAGCACCAAATTATTGCCTTTTGGTTATTTTATGGACTTCATTGAGTCGAGCATCATATCAAGCAGTTACTAAGGAACTAGTAATTGCAATTATTCTTTTTCCTGCCACCTATTATGTGTAGACATGACATCCAAGGACAGAACTAGCCTTCAAGTTTGGACAAGATGCAGTAGGTAAAATAAGTATTGACCACGGGACCATTTTTCTCAGTAAATATATTTCTAGAGGTGCTATTGACATTTTCACCAGATGTCGATAAAAATCCATGCAATCCACGCAGACAAAGAAATCCAACCACAGATGTCCAGAAATTAGGGAAATAGCACAGGGAAAAGGCATCAAACACACTGATATTTATTTTACGTTTTGTGCAAAAGCCTATGTTGTCAATTACAGCCTCAAGACACCTGCTGTATGGAGAAATTAGTCGCATTCATTACTCAGGTGTGATTTTGGCCCATTCTTCCACACCAACAGTCTTCAAATTTTGAAGGTTTCATGGGTCTCTTTTTTTGAACTATGATCTTTAGTTCTTTCCATATAGTTTCTATTAGATTCAGTTCAGGTGATTGGCTGGCCATTAAACTGCTTTGTTTTCCTTCTCTGAAACCAATTTAGAGTTTCCTTGGTTGTGTGTTTTGGGTCATTGTCTTGCTGAAATGTCCTTCCAAGTTTCATCTTCATTCCTGGTAGATGGCAGCAGATTTTTATCAAGAACGTCTCTGTACATTTTTCCATTCATCCTTCCATTATTTGAAGTTTTCCAGTACCATATGTATAAGTACCAGATTTGGCTGGCTCCCTTTCTTCATGTTCCACTTTATTACACATAACTTAATTTCTTGACATCTATGGTTTGATTTCTTTGTATGTGTGGATTGGATGGATTTTTACAGACATCTGGTGAAAATGTCTTGTCTTGAAATATATTTACTTATTTTACGCGCTGTAGATGTTCAACTGAACAGTTTATGTTGATTTCTTAAATACTTCCTCTCGTCTGTAATGTTATAAAGCAACAAACTTATCAACCTGATACCCACTTGTATGAAGTTACAGATATTTTCCTCTTCTGAGCTGATTAAATTCTGTGTATATTGGCCAAAAGTCCTTCATGAACCCCATACACTAAAGCAGAAATTCTATTTAAAAACTGTGTATATCTGAAATCCCTCATCCTTCATGTGGCGTGTGTCTATAAAATGATGCGAGGCTCTGTCACATGAACTGACCATCATCAGGCCTGACATACCGAGCCTATTGTCCGAGCGTCTCTTCAGGAGGTGACATAATGTTCTGTGCCAGGGGGAGAAGCGGACTGGGTTGCTACAGCTGATGAGTTCGACCGACTGAGCTGCTGCAGAAAAAGGCAAACTGCTTCAAAATGGTAACTGTATTTATTGTTTTCTTAAGCAAATTTGGCAGCCATTCATAGAAATTTGTTCAGAGATTAGAGCTTTTATCTAATCTAGACAACCTGGGTGTGTTTGCAGAGTTTCAACACAGTGACGATGGTGACAGCTCTCCTTGCTTTCCCTTTGGCTCCTTCCTTAGCCACACAAGGTAAACATTTTGAAATTGTTATTGCTAGAGTGGTTCTATAAGCAAGAGGCATCAACTTAACGACTAACAAACTATCAAAGTTTATTTTTTATAGCACTTTCCAAAAATGCATATGGTGCACAAATCCCTTTACAAGTTAATATAAAAGCAAGTTTTCATGACCAAAATCGATAAAATATGGAAATGTTAGGCATAAATAAGCTAAAAGAGATAAAGACTAAAAAAATGCACAATAGTACAATCAACAACACCTTTAAAAGCTATATAGAAAAATAAAACCACAATATAAGCTAAAAAAAAAAGCAGGAGTGTAAGGACTGTCTGAGCAGATGGGTTTTTAGCTGTGATTTAAAGACTCCTCTATCAGTAATGGATTGTAGCTCTAGTAATAAAGTGTTTCACAACTTGGGAACAAAGATAGCAAAATAATGATTTTGCAGCTAGTCCTGGGGAAATGTAGGGTTATGAGCTCTGATGACAAGGTTTGAACATTTAAAAGTTCAGACAAATATCCTGAAGCAATGTGATTTAAAACCTTAAATGAAAACAGCAGGACTTTAAAGTCTAAGCAAAAGAAAACTGGAAGCCAGAGGAAAGAGAAAATAGTTAGAAGTGAGTTTGGGAGCATTTGAGGGAAACCAAGCAGCTGCATTTTGGACCACTTTGAACCTTATCAAGAATAGACTGGCTAATTCCTGCAAACAGAGCATCCTTGAACTAATGAATGCATGCATTCCCGTTTTCAGGTCAACCAGGGAAAAAAATGTTTTGACTTTTAAGCTGAAAAAAGCCAACTCTGACTACTGAGTTTACCTGTTTTTCAATCTTCACACCCTTGGTTCTTACAGCTGAAGTAAAATATGGGGAACTGGAACACGAGCTTGGAGGTTGACAAGACTGCTTTGAATAAAACTGAATCTACTCAGTTTTTCCTTCATTTATGTGAAAATATTGAGACAAACTTGATGTCAAACAAACAGTTTTGCAGAAAAAAAAGAACTATTTTTATTATTCTCTTTCATTGGTATGTAGATTTGTACATCATCAGCATATAAATGAACAGGAACCTTTTGTTTAAAGATGATAAATTTATTGCTTAGATATGAGGCAAACACCCAGAACTCTGGCCTAGACGTGCCAGATGCGTTCCAGAAGTGAAACAGGAATTACCTGGACTACACTATCAAAGGCAGCTTTAAAGTCAAACATCACAAGCACAACTGAATTATTTGTACCAATGCTCTACAGGGTATCATTATGGACCTTAGGAAATGCACACTGTGTGCTGTGACGGGGTCTGAAGCCTGAATTAAACTTTTCAACAGTTTCATGCAGCAAGACGTAATCTTGTAGCTGTGACAGGACACATTTTTCCATAACCTTAGACAAAAAAGGTAGAATTTGAGGAAAATTTAAACAAATGTATGGTTCAAGATTGCATGTTCAGAAGTGGCTTAACCATAGCATGCTTAAAGGCAGGAGGGACAGTGCCCATCCTGAAGCAATAGGAGGGGCTGCTTCTCTCCCACATCAACATATTTTTCGGATGCCCCCATGATGCCTCCCTTAGGAGGTGTTCCAGGCATGTCCCACCAGCAGGAGGCCCAGGGGACAACCCAGGACATGATGGAGGGACTATGTCTCTCGGCTGGCCTGGGAGCATCTCAGGAT